TTTTCACCACTTGGACATCTGGGAATAACATAATTGATGATTTTATTCAACAATGTCAAATGAAATCATCTCTGCCAGGATATATTTTAGAATGGACACCTTTTGAGCAATTTGAAAAAGTAACAAAGTTGACTGAAGGTGGATTTAGTTCAATTTATACTGCTGCATGGACAAGAGGACGAATAATTGATTATGATGAAAATAAAAAGGAATTTAGTTATTTAGAAAGGCAAGTAGTAGTATTAAAAAGTTTAAATAATTCAAGTAATCCAGGAAAAAGCTTTTTTGATGAGGTTGGTAGTTGTTGTTTATAAAAATAATGTATTATATAATACTAATTGATTTTACATTTATTTTCAAGCAATGAATTATTGTAAAATTAAAGCACCACTGATTGTTGAGTGCTATGGTATAACTAAATTCCCAGATAATGGGAATTATGCAATTGTTTCAAATTATCTATCAGAAGGAAATTTAAGGGGTTATTTACAAAAAAATCATTTAAATTTAACATTAAAAGACAGAATTACAATCCTTAGATATTTATGTTATGCATTAGATGATATACATAAAAAAGATTTAATCCATTGTGATTTACATATTGGTAATATACTTGTGAAAGGAGGTAATTGTTATATTACAGATTTGGGGTTATGTGGACCAGTTGATGAAAAGTCATTAAATAAAGTCTATGGAATTGTATCATATGTTGCACCCGAGCTACTTGGAGGCAAAAAGAACACAAAAGAATCAGATATCTATAGTGTTGGAATGTTAATGTGGGAAATATTTGCAGGTTGTCCACCATTTGATGATAGAGCTCACAATCACTGTTTGATTTTTGATATATGTGAAGGTTTACGACCACCAATATTATCTGAAATGCCTGATGATTATGTGCAAATTATGCAGAGATGTTGGGATGTGGATCCATCAAAAAGACCAACTAGTAGAGAGCTTTATGATTTTGCTGAAAACAAGCTTTGAAGAAATTTTTAAAAATAAACATTTGAAAAATAATAGTAACAATAATAATAATAGTTTAATAAAAAGATTATTCAAATTTTCTAAAGCCAAAACACGTGAAATTGATTTTAATAATGATGGCAACAGCAGCAGCAGTGGTAATAGTGGTAGTAATTCACAACAAACACACAAATCACATCCAGATGCACATCATACAAGCAGAATATTAGATGAAGAGATTGCTAAATCTAAAAGCTTGAAAAGTTATACAAGTAATGATAATTCGTTAAATAATCTTGATTTTAACTCTTTTCTCTAAAATATTAACAAAGGCGAATAAAAATTTCATTATCAATCAATTGGAAATTACTATCCATCAATTATTATTGCTGACAATATTAATTAATTAAACATTATATTCTAGTAAAAGAAAGATGAATTTAATCTCTACTATAAATTTATTATTTATCTTTTTATTTTATCTTTTATTTTATTTCTTAAAGCTAAATTATAATAATAAACTTTTTACAGTTTTTTTGATTCTTGTTAAATAGTGATATTTCAAGGTATCATTCTGGTTAATTAACAATCATGGCTTAACTTTTGGGCTACTCTTGTCAGTTAATTGCAATAATCCGGTGCTTATCAATTAAAATTAGCTTACAAATTTACTTTGGTTCCCTCTTTCTTTCATCCAGATGGATCTGTGAACATACTAGATAAAAGATGGCCCTTTTGCAATGCCATAAAGTTCCTTTTATTCACTTGTGATTGATTTATTTCAGTTGTTTACATTTATTGGCCGATTGCAAACTCGCTTTGGTTTACTTGCAAAGTAGCTTACTCAATAACCATTTACAATCACAATAATATTACCAGTATTCCAGATTAACCTTTGGACGATGCTTCATTTAACCAACGTTAATTAGTCCAAACCTTTGCTTACTCAGTAAAAACAAATTACGTACTAATCGTTGTTAACACTCACTAGTTAACCAACGTTAGTTCTAATCTTGCTTGTTTGCTCACTAAAGCAAATAAACGTGGATTTTTATCAAGGCACTAACTACACTTGTTGCTTTCATCAAACAAAGGAAATAAAGAAATGTTTTTATTTTTAAAAGTTAACAATTAATTTAATAAAAATCTTTATTATTTCCTCTGAGGAACCAAAGTCATGCTTTTTCAAACAAATACCAGAAGTTATCCTTAATAAAAATTTTCGTTGATCACTACAATAAGGTTAAGATAAAGATGGGATTATTATTGCAAAGTAACTTAATCAATCAAATATTGATATTATAAAACCTTCCATAATAAAAAGCCTTTGCATCATAATTTTAGCGTATAATTATGAAAATTAGTTGGCCCTGGAACATAAAGTACCGAATCCCAGTCGATGATTTTACCTGCCCGATCATGTATCACGTTATTAATACTAATTAATATAAGAAAGAAATGTTCGAGTTTAGTAGTAAATGAACTGAATTTGTATTCAGCAAAAGGAAAGCTTGGCTCCTTGGGAACAACTGATGAAACAAAGAGAGATTGGGATACTCAAAGAAAAATATAAGAAAAAGACCTTGGAATATACATTTATAAGTTTTTTTATGTTTTATTATTAGTCTTTAAAGTAATTTTACTTGCGTCATTTTTGACTTAATGGCAGTGAATTTGTCAAACAACATTGCCTTTAAATTGTTTATCCTCCTTTTCTTATTCACTTTAATTCTTCATTCTTGCCTCCTAGTTCTTTATCTTTGCCTTTTACTTCTTTGGTTGCCTTCAATTAGTCCTAAATTTCATATTCTATATTCATATTTTCTGATCCAATTGGCAGTTTTAAGCTTCTGAAAATGAAATTAAACTATTGTAAATGTGATTTTATATTCAGAAAGTATTTATTAAAATTAAACGATTGCCAATTTTTAAACACAGATCAAAGTTGGGGAAATAAAATTTATTTTGCTGATAGTAACGGACATTTTATCAATAGCTTACTGCGTATTAAAGAAAATGTAATTTATTAAATTTGGAAATTATGAAAAATCGAATTCTCCAGATTTGGTTTTGCTGGAAACTATTCCAATATTAAAAGTTATATAATTAAAAAAAAAAAAATAAGTGTAAAATTTCAGACACAAGCATAACTTCTTGTGGGTCCAACGACAATGTATTATCACTCTTAATATATATCTCGTCAATTATTGGGAATTTTACTAGAAAAATATGAACCAACTTTTAGAAATCTTACTGCAAGATTACACAAATCCAAAAGAATAGTCTTGTTTAGGAATATTAATGAATAAGATTGCCCTCTTTTAAAGTAGAGAAACCCAATATAATGGTTGGTGACATTAGAAATTTTGATGATTTTGCAGATAAATGCTCGCTTTAGAGCTCAAACAGAATGTTATTTGAGGAGAATTTTCTTGCCAACAACCCCTCATGGACAATTAATTGAAGCAGAGAAAATACACAAATTTTTTACCATGGTTTTTGAATGATTTTATTCAATGAAAGATTTCAATAATAATTCTCCTCTTCTCTAACAACATATATGTAAAAAGCCCAACATAAGATAATGTCTATCCATCTCCAAAAATAATCATCACATTCCAAATAACCATAATGACAAAGTAAAAGATGTGTATACACTGCAATAATTATTGATGTAGATAATGACGTTATTATCTCATAAAGCCTTTTCCCCTAAATAATTGTCAAATTGATTGATTAATTAATAAATATATATATATATCATATCATGAATATTTAATTGTTACCAAATGTTCTTCTTCGATATCAAATTCATCATTTTTTTCTTGCATTTGAACAGAATATAATAACTTTGAAATTATCACAGTTCGATAAATTAATGATACAAACATGTTTAATGAAAATGCCTTTTCAATTACTGAAACATATTTAAAATTAAAAATAAGTTCTGAAAATTTTTTCAATAATATGTGAAAATTTAAACTGTTGAAAAAAAAATCCAAAAAGCAAAATTAATTGATCAATCATCTTATGACTCTCTTTTTAAAAAAAAACAATAACAATAATATTATTAACTTACTTGTAAAATAGATTAATAAAGTCCATCAAATCAAAATCAAGGTATATTAAAAGCGGAAGTGGTTTTAGATCCTCGAATATTGGCATTGTTGAATCTGTTCGATATCCTCCTTTTAATTTTGTACCATCATCCTTCCAGTTAAGTGATAGCATGTATATACAATAAATAGTATAAGCAAACTATAATAGAAAAAAAAAAATCTTAAAGAATAATTCATAATTCGCATTTATAGTATATTAAAAAAAAAAATAGATTGCTTGTCTTACCAAAAGTGAAATATCAACGATACTTCCTTTATTGAAAATCAAACAAACGATTGAAATTGTAATGGCTAAAGTCAAAACAGAACCAATAAGAGTTGCAGATAATATATCCATTCCTGAACCATCATATATATAATATAGAAAATAAATTGATATTATGTTGGTAATTATCGATATTATCAAAAAATAAATCTAAATAAATATAAATATTCAAAATTATAAATTATTCAAAAGATTATATAGTAATTATTAAATTTTCAAAGGAAAAATATCAACACCTTATTATGTATCAAATCTTCATCCTCGAGCGTTTCTTTGACATAACGTCTAATTTCTAAAATAAGCATGGAAGTAGCAATTGCTTCTACCAATGTAAAAATCGGTGCAGAACATGACAATAAACCTTGATAAACATTTAAAACAAGTGGTAATTTAAATTTAGGTCCATTGTATTGACTATTTTGTTGTTCTTCTATTAAGATGTAAGTTAATCTCACTGAATGTATCATAAAGAAAGGAATCAAAACTGGTTGAGCCCAGATTAGGATTTGTGTCTAAATATAATAGTCAACAATAAAAAAGATTATATATAATCATTAAATACATTACTAGTTTATTCATTTCTATATCTTAATTAGTAAATAAATTCGTTCAATAATATATAGGTCCAACAAAGTAATAGTCCAAGAAAATTATAATTCAATCAACTCGTTCTCCCTTTCCTTGCTCTAACCGTCTACCTACTATTATTACATGCTATTAAACAATATTATTATTATGTAATAAAAATTTATTATTACATACCATAGCCCAGCCGAAACCATGTTTTTTCTGCCACATAATTTTAGCAAATCCCAAAACAATGTAATATAGAAATAATGCAAAGGACAATGCTAAACCAGTTGCTGGGCCACCAAGATCAAAGGATAAAGGTAAAAGTAATAAAAATAGTAAATGATTTGCATTGTTAAACATAGACAAGAAACTCATTTCTTTAATATTATATTTTAAAAAGAAACGAAGCAAAATATTTTACATAATAATAATAAATAACACGTATTGTTCCAAAAAACTACGATTTCATTGGCTGAACTTTGTGTAGATCAGTATTAGATTGTTTAAGAATAAAAATTTCATCGAATCAATTAATGCTCTATAACATCTACTTCTTCCATATCAATGTCAACTGCAGATGACATTTCACTTCCAACATCCTCTGAAATAATAGATCCAATTTCAGACCACGCATCTTCTGATGGATTGGGTGATAAAAAACGAGAATTGTCTGGAAGATCAAGAATTTGTCTTTGTAATAAATGTTGTTGATTTTGTTGCTGTTGCCGAATGATTTCGTCGTTTATGGTAGAAGAATTTGATCTTATATTATTATTATTATTATTATTATTAACACCGTCATCATCATCATCATCACTATTATACGCACTATCAACAGATGATTGCAGGTGATGACTACTAATACTTGATAAACCTTGCGAGAGAATTGATTGTACAGCTGTGTCAGGATAAAGGCTACTTTCATTATATAAAGAATGTTGTTCAACATCTTTTAATGGAATTTCATCATTGCTGTCATTGTCTAAAATAGTGTTAGTAGCAGAAGTGTTCTTTGTGTTTTTAGATAAATCAGAATCAGAGCTGGATTTTGAACTGATGGATTTTAAGCGTTGCTTCCTATTTTCAAGTTCTTGTTCTCTCTCTTTCAAAATTCGCTCCTCATTTTCTATTTCTTTACTTTTACGGTGTAATTCTTGTTCTAAAATATTAAGATATGATAAATTTTCTAAAAGTTGTTCTTCTTGTTCCTTTTAACGAGAAAAATACCATTAGGAATATTTTTTTGTTTAGAATTAATAAATAAAATAACATATATATATAATATTATCATTAATCAAAAAAACCCTCACTTTTGAATCATTTGTGTCATTTATACCCTTTTCACTTTTACTTTTTTCATCTTTGCTTTTTCTTTTTCTTCTCCTTCTAAGACCTATCCTTTCTTCTGTAGCGTTTCTACCAGATAAATCAGAATCAGAATCTGAATCTTTTTCACTAGAGGAATCCTTTGAATTGTTTCTGTTGCCTCCAGCTATGGAATAAACTGGAATTGGCTCGTTTAAAATTTCATTATAAACTGTATAAGCTACAAAGCCAACAACTGCAACGCTAACTACTATAGACGCAACAAAATAAGGATGCATACTTTTTTACTTTATAAAAAAGCTTTATTAAAAAATAAGAGCTATTTTATTTTTATTATATACATAATTACTATTTACTATTTAGATTGAGGGATCTTATAATAATCCCCCCAAAAATTCTATAACTCCTCATTTAGATAAATTTTTTTCCAATTGAAACAATAAATCAATCATGATCGACTTTACAGTTATATCTGGCGCGAAAAACGAAGATGCTCTATGTTATTTATTAGAAATAGATAATGAAGTGAAAATACTACTTGACTGTGGTTGGAGCGATGAATTTAATTTAGAAGATTTGAAGCATTTGAGAAGGTGTATAACTTTTTCCAACAAAAATATACCGGCTGGCTCTGAATGGCAAACAAACCATTGGCGATGAGCAGTAATTATTTATAATGATTAGGCAAGACTTTGTTTACAAAAAGGTTGAAATTTATTAATGCTGTTCATTTGTTCATGCTTATGCTACATTAAAAATTTTTATAAATAAGAGTTGCTAGACAAGTTGATGCCTTGCTGCTTTCTCATCCTGATCTGCCTCATCTAGGTGCCTATCCATATGCATTTGGCTACTTTGGTCTTCATTGTCCCGTTTATGCAACGGTTCCTGTCGTTAATATGGGTAGAATGTGCATGCATGATATTTATCAATCAAAAGTTAACGAAACAGAGTTTGATACTTTTGCATTGGATAATATTGATTCAGCTTTTGAGAGAATTAATGTTTTAAAATATTCTCAACCAATGATTTTAGGAGGCAAGTAAACAATCAAATTCCCATTTTTTAAATTGATACAACTCGTTACCATTTCATAACATTTGATTACATTTGACAGGCAAATGTAAGGGTATAACAATTACTGCCTATTCTGCTGGACATACTATTGGCGGAACAATCTGGAAGATTAAAAAAGATACTGAAGAGATTGTGTATGCAGTTGACTATAATCACAAGAAAGAAAGGTTGTTAAATAATATATATATATATACATACTAGAATAATATCATTATAATTTTTATTGAAAGATATAAAAAATATCTCATAAAATATAGACATCTAGATGGAACTGTTTTGCATAGCAATGGTGTTGTTTTAGACGCATTAAGTCGTCCTTCTTTAATGATAACCGATGCTTACAATTCACTTATAATCCATCCACCAAGGAAATCGCGTGATACTGCATTATTTGGTACTGAGGATTTTCTTTTTTTTTTTAACAAAACCAATTAATATTATTAAAACTTTTTTATTAATACAATAAATAAATAATAATTTATATTTAAGAAACAATAATGAGCACATTACAAAATAAAGGATCAGTATTATTACCAACTGATTCATCAGCACGCGTATTGGAGTTGGCTTATCTTTTAGATCAACATTGGGCTTTTCATCAGTTGTCATATCCACTTATCTTGTTAACTCATCAAAGTTACCGTACAATCCAGTACACTAAAAGTATGCTAGAATGGATGGGTGATGCTATCAAAAGACATTTTGACACAAAAAGAGAAAACCCTTTTGAATTTAGGTATTAACTTGGCTTATTTATATAAAAAAATTACATAATGGAAATTATAAAAAAGCTTCTTTTTTTTTTTTAAAAACAATTCATGTAGGTATCTAAAATTATGTCATAGATATAAAGATCTTGCAAAATATCCGGGACCAAAAGTGGTACTTGCAAGTAATGTTAGTTTAGAAACAGGGTTTTCCCGTGAATTTTTATTCGAAATATCAAAATCAGATATAAATGCTCTTATTCTGACTGATCGTGGACCACCAAATTCTTTGGCAAGAAAGTTATATCATGAATGGGATCGTAAAAGTCAAACAAGTCAAGGAGTTGTCAAACCAGCAGCTGCTTTGGATTTAACTATTAACCTGATGGTAAATTTAATTTATTATTTATTGTCCAATGGACTGTTTTAAAATTTTTGTATAATGTATCGTTTATATAATTTATTAAATAATCACACATGAAAACATATATATCTATTTATTTATTATTAAGATTAATAAAAAAGTTCCTTTAGAAGGTGCTGAGCTTTTAGAATATAAAGCAGAACAACGCAAGAAGCAGGAAAGAGAGGCAGCACAGGCAGCGCTTATAGCCAAATCTTTGTCAATAATTGAAGAAGATGAGACAGATGATGAAGAGTCGGAAGCAGGAGATACTGACATGGAGGAATTATTAGCAAAACAATTTGACCTTTATGTGCGCGATGCAACAAAATATGGAGGTTTTTTTAAACAAACACAAAGTTATTTGATGTATCCATTTGTTGAAAAAAGGAAAAGATATGATGACTATGGTGAGATTATTCCATCTGATATGTTTAAAAGAGTTGGTGGATCAATTGGTACCGAGGGAATTGGTATTGAGCCAATTGGTGATAGAGATGATATGGGTGGTGGGGATAAAGAGGAGGTAGTAATATATGTTATATATATATATATATTTTTTTTTAGTCTCACAAAAGCAATTTTAAACTTTAATTAATATTATATAATTATCTATTGTCGTGCAAGTTTGATAAGGACAATAATAATTCTTCTTTGGATTCCAATGTTCCAACCAAATATGTATTGTATGATGAGGATGTTACTTTCAAATGTCAAATACGATTTATAGATTTGGAGGGAACTAATGATGGAAGGTCATTGAAAACCATAGTACCACAAGTACAACCTAGAAAATTGGTAACAAATATATTTTGTTTAATTCCTTGTTCTATTTTACATAAATAGTTATGATTACTAGTATAATAAATTTATATGTATACATACATACATTTATAGATTGTTGTACATGCATCACAAGAAGCCACGAAAGATTTTGCTCAAAGCTGTTTAGCTCTGGAATCAATGACCAAAGACATTTATACTCCAGATGTTGGAGAAACTTTGAATGTTTCGGCTGCAATAAATTTTTATCAAGTCAAATTGACTGATTCATTAATCAGTTCATTGAATTTTTCAAAGGTAAAATAAATCCATATATAATTAGTTATAAAATTTTTCCCGGTAAACTTTTAATAAAATATTAATATTATTTATATTATTCATTAGCTTGAGGATTATGATATAGCATTCATAACAGGAAAAATTTCATTTCCACAAGACTATTCCCTCCCTATATTAGATGCTATACCAATAGAAGAAAACACTAGTAATAATAATCCCATATTTGTAGGTGAGGTGAAATTATCAGAATTAAAACGTTTATTACAATCTGAAGGTATCACAGCAGAATTTAAAGGTGAAGGTGTGTTAGTTTGTAATGAAAAAGTTGCCATTAAAAAGGTCAGAATTAATAATTATCTATGTAAATAGATAATGGTTTCTTTTTTTTTTAAAAAAAATCCCTTTATTAAGTGCTCAATTTTTTTTATGTTGAATTGATTATATAGACTTCAAAGGGTCAATTAATTCTTGAAGGTTCATTATCAGAAGATTATTATAAAATTAGAACCATAATATATGCACAACATGCTTTATTATAAAAACATATATTTTACGCTGATACAAAATTTTGAATATAAAATATACTCTCAATCAAACGGCAAGGAAGATCCACGACCTACATCTATACCAGATGAATACATTGATATCATAATAAAATACCAGAATATCAAAAAAAATAAAAATAAAAAAAATAATTCAATATTTTGTTGAAATTCTACTTGTGAATTGGGTTATATGTAAAATCGTGTTTATGTACCTTTGTACAATATTACTTTTTTTCCCTTTAAAAAAAAACAGATATAGAAGTATGTAAATTATCATTTGCTTTTAATAATTTATTTTTCCAATGCTATTAAAATTATAAATTTAAATGTTCTGATGCTTATTATTAATATAATCCATTATACTTTTAAAATCATCTTTGGATATAATAACATTATCCTCAACAGTATTTATTTTGATTTTAGACCAATCCAAGCCATTTTTTTGATTGTTAGTTATAGCATTAGTCGAAGATTCACCAATCAAATCATCTTCAATCAATTTTTTATTATTGACATTTTTCTTATACTTCTTATATCTGTCTGGTTCAACTATGTTTAAATAATGTATCTTATAGCATAATTGATCATCTTTTTTTAAAAATCCATATTCATTATTTACATCTTTAAGTCTAATTTTATCAACAGTATAATCAGTTAACCTTCTGAACTCATTATCAGTGTTAGTACAGCCAGGTATAACACATGGACCACGATTTTTTGGAGGCATCTTTGATTTTAATGAGTTTGTTCAATTTGGTTTTAATATTAAGGAGAGTATTTGTAGATTTTCATTAGTAAATGTGGATTTTACCTAATTAATATCAAGTAAAATTTGACCCAAAAAACTCGACTATTACTATCGATTTGGATTGGTGTTGGAAATTTGTCCAATTGAACAAATACCCTTGGATGAGAAAGGATCTGTGTCGCATGGAGCTTATAACCACTATTTCTGTCACGTGATTTTCAAAGATCAGAAGATCGAACTTTTCAAAAAATGAATACTTGTGACGGAGAGATTTTTTCAAAAATATTGATTGATTGTTGAGTTCTGCTCCATTTTAGTGTGTACATGGATTTATTAGATTTCAGTATGCTTGGTATAAAGCACATTCGATGTTAGTTGCATCGATGAAGATGTAAATTGGATTTTAATAGATTCTTCAAAAAATCACAAAAATACATGTAATTAAAAGTGGCTATACTTTATTAATTAATTAACTAAAATTTTACAATAAAAATGAAAATTTTTACAGAAAATGGTATGTATATACCAGATGGTTGTTACGTTCTTATTAATAAAATTTCTCACCCGATAAAATCGCACGCAGAGTTAAAATTAATATTAAGCGTAAACACACACCTTTCCGCTGACACCATATTATCATGACAGATGAGAAAAGTCCTGCAGGCTCGGCTTTATGGATTTTTTCCATTTTCAATTTTTTTAATATTTAAATTGTTTTTTTTCCATTTCAATTACTTTCTCGCACCTTATTTCATGTATAAATATTTTGTGATAAGCTTGAACTCCATTTTCTTTAGGATCATGTGATTCAAAAACAAACATTAATTTTGTGATCGTCATCATGTGATAGATAGGTATATACATCTTTTTTTTTTTTAAATCATGCGAAATAGAGAATTTCAGGTTGGATTAACCGACCATTCTAAGAAGATTGAAATTGATTTGTCAAAGGAAATTTTGAATTTTCATAAAAGAGAACGAAATGGTACATAATTATCAGAAAAAGATTGATGAACTTTTGAAAAAAGCCCGTTCACAAGGTATATTAAATAGTTTTAAAATAATTTATAAACGAGATTTAGATTTGGTGCTTTAAAAGTTTGATTTAGATAAATTGTTGTTAAAACAAATAGATTCAAGCAATATTGTTAAAACAAGTATTGCTACTGGTAAATTGTCACCAGAAAAATCACAACAACTGTTAGAAGATGCGTGGTCCAGTAATTCAAAAGTTGGTGTTGGTAAGAAAAGGTATTTTAATAACACTTCTGAGGGAATTAGAAATAATAATAAAAATATTTCTAACATCTGAACATATTTATTTATCAGGAAACGGATATAATTTAGTTGTCAATTCAAGAAAAAGAAAGAGTACAAAAATCAGCAAAATACATAAAATTTTAAAACCATCACGTATTGTAAGTGGGATTTTATTATAATTTATTGATTTGAACGATCTAAATTGACCTAAATAAAAATATATTATAAACACGTAGAATAAAAAAAGAATACTATTTCCCAAAGGAAGCAATACATCACCTAAATCACCAGAATATTATTCGTCTTCTTCAGATTCAAGTTCGGACTCTAGTCCACTCAAAAAATTTAACATCACACCGATTACTCATTATTTTCCACATAAACCAGTGAACAACAATCAATCTCACTTTTATCAATATAATAATCACCGTGAATCTGATAATAATTATAATTATAACGACAATCACAGTGACCTTGATGTAAATGCGAGTAATAATAGCATTAGTACGAGAGCTTTAAATACTAGAAAAAAATTGAGGAGTCGAGAATTCACACCTGAAAAAATTTCAAGGAACCAAGAAGAAACACCTACAAATGCAAATATACTAGAAAATTATTTTCATTCTGAAGGTAAACATCAAAAGGCGAATAGATCAATTAGAACCTTCACTGAAGATAATATAGATGATGCTTCTCCAGATACTAAAAGTATTTTAACATTAGCGAAAAATTGCAATTCGGATGATGGATTTAATTTACTATTACAAAATTATCAAATGGAAAATGTAAGTTTTTGATTTTTAAAAAAATTTATTTATTTTTTTAATGATTTAATTTCTAATAATAATAAATAATAATAACAATTATTTATTACTATTTTATTTTGCAGCCATTTCTTTAAATTTTTTATTTTTCCAACAGATAAAAATTCTTTTATTTAAAATCAATTTTCTCATTAAATGTTAAGAAGAATTTTTATTTTTATAAATGCACACAAATAAAATGCTATTTCAGTCATTATTAATTTAACCATAAAGATGATAAATCACTGGTTGATTTATTTAATATGTTCTGTTGATCACTTGACCCTGGCTTCTAAGACTCAAACTTTAGAAGATTTAAAAATAATCCAACTGGTCTTAGAACTAACATGCAAATAGTCATAAACATGAACTTGCCACGATTGCTGTTAAATCAGATTGCAGTGAGTCTGGCCACATGAACATTTAGAAAAATGTAAACTTTGATGATTATCATGATTGCCCATTCAATAAAGGAAACATCCACATCCACTGATTCAATAATAAATCATATGGCAACTATAATAAATACAGAAAATGTCTTAGCAATAAATACTAATAATTTTAGTATACGTCAAATTGGAGTATTGGGATCCTAATAGGATTATTTCAGAGCTTGGAAAGCAAATGGAAGTTACCTAAATTCATCCAATTCTTTGGCAAAGCATACATCATAAAAGGTTCAAAAACACAAATTTGATTGAAAACAGTGATAATCATTTAAAAGGTAAAATTCAAAACCAAATATAATATTAGCTCCAATGGATCTCCTTGGGCAATAAAATTAATTGTTAATGACAATAATATTAAAATAAAAATATCGCCAACGTTAACATGTGAGCTTGAATAAACATGTTTACAAAAATATTTAATAATTTATACAAATTTGTTTGAAAAATATCCAATTTTAAATTATTTAATTGATCTGAATGAAATATTAATATGCGGCCACTCCTATCATATTAGTTGCCTAGATATTTATTGTAAAAATTATTATCCAATTAAGAAAAATGAATTAGCCAGTTCTTATAATGAAAGATTATTGAGGTTTCGTAAAAAAATAACACGATTTAAATGCGAAACAGATTAAAACAAGGATGAGGTACTTTCATAGGCGTGTAAATGGCTTGCAGTTTATAAAATCGGGGGAAAAATAATTGTATTTTCTCTTGCTCAAATCTTTTCCTCTCTCTACTTTGGATATCATTAGATTGGCTTTTTGCAGTTTAATCTCGCATGGTCATAATATTGTTACTAATTGAAATTTTCATTGTATATAATTAACAAATACATTCTCCGGTTAAATATTTGCACCATGGACGTTTTAAAAGGCTCCGCTAATTTTTCGTACAAATAGTGAATAAAGCAATAAAATTACTACTCATGGTACCAATACGCTCACAACCTCATTGGCTCCTTCTATTTTCGATTAAATATTCTATATAAACGGCTTTTTCCAAAAATAAATGTTTCAAACAACTACATTGGATAAAAATCTAAAGAATAACGATGTAATAATAATAAATAAATTAGAATTGTTATAATGTATATAATTATTTTGGGTATTCCGAGTTTGATGGTTTATTTTAATAAAGCAGGATTATGTGGATGCATTAATAGGATTGAATATGGGTTTATGACCTTTTAATTTATTAGATCCTTATTTTAATTTAATAATCATTAGAATATTTCTTCGGTCATATAAAAAAAACATCTTTTCTAAACGACCAAAGCTTTGCAATGCTTTCCTATTCATTGTAATTTTTTATTTCCCGTGCAGAATTGCAGACTCAGGAAAATAAAATTTTCAAGGAAACCATGATGATAAAACCATAACGGTTATAGATCTTTAGACTTTCTACAGTGGCAGGCATTTATTATTATCAGATAAAATAATTGATATAATTTAATGTAATTTATTTATAAATAATTAAACATATATGAAAATAAGAAATAAAAATAATAAAAATAATAAAAAATAATAAATTAATACAAGCCCAAATAGAAATCACTTTGTATATTTTTTATTGCCAATAATTTTTTTAATCCGCAATTTTTTATCCATTCAGTTTTTATTATTATTGTTTAACAGTTTATGGAGTAGGAATATGATGTAATTTAATTGTTGATCTCTGTTGTGATGTTGATCAACGAAATTATTTTGATTTTGATAAACAAAAGAATTATTCGGATGATTAATTCTCATCATCATAGCATTAGTCGCATTAAATGAATTCTGGTCAGCGAGGTTATTGATTATACCTGTTGGAATAGCAGTGTCCTGGTCAGCAAGCCCATTGTTATTGTTAATAATGCTAGTTGAGCCATCAAAAGTGTTATCTTTAACGAAATCATTGTTACTGGCAATATCAGTTGAGGTAAGAGGGTTTTGGTCAACGAAATTATTTTGATTAACGAAGTTATCATCTCCAGAATTTTCATTAACGAAATTGTCATGAACTAAGTTAAAATGAAAGTGATTGTTGTCGCCACCGTTTTGATAAGCGAAGATGTTATGGTCTCCAGGAGTTTGAAAGATGGAGTTACTATGAAATAAGTTTTGTTGAACGTTTTGATAATCGAAATCATTGTCTCCATGGGTTTGAGGAGCGTGGAATGAACTTGTTTGTCCGTCAAAAAAAAGAGGAGAATTTAGATTAACAAGATTTTGATTATTATTATTTCCATACATTCCTAATATATAATCTAATGTATTTATCAAATTGGTTTTATTTATAAATGTTTTTATTATAATAATTATTTGTTTTAGTTAATTTTTTAAAAAAAAATTTTTTTTTGATTCAAACTTTTAAAAAATCGATTAAAAAAAATCGATATATAATTTTAAATGTTTATAAAAAAAAAATTTCGATATTTATATGTTTATAAAATCTAATGTATTTGTCAAATTGGTTTTGTTTTTATTATTATAATTATTTGTTTAGTTAATTTTTAAAAAAATTTTTTTTTTGATTCAAACTTTTCAAATTTTTAAAAAATCATTAAAAAATCAAAAAAGAAATCCATATTTATATAGTTTTTTTTTAAAAAAATTATTATCATTAGTTTTTTTTTTAAAAAAATTATTATCATTATAGTTTTTTTTTTAAAAAAATTATTATCATTATAATTTTTTTAAAAAAAATTTTTTTTTTATATAAACATATAAAACTGTTTAAAAAAAATATTCCGTACACAACCGTACAACAAATAATATGAAATACATTTGAAACTTTAAAAACAAAAAAAGTAATTTGATGGACTTTTAAAAAAAATATCATTCCAGATTATTTTTGACCGTTTTGTACAACCAAATAATATACTTTTCCTTATGGTTAAAATTCTGATGGTTTTAGGCAAATCAAAAAATATTACAACTTATGGAAAAACGGTGAGACAAAAATAAAGAACTTTCCACGTCACACCTATTAAAAAGATAGTGAGAAAAAGCGTTTTCCATATCAAAAAAAAAAACTGGACTTTAAAAGATTAAAATGGAAATTTCATTTGATTGTTTGACAGCAAGCCCATCATCACACGCTTTATCTTGAATTACACCCACTTTTTAATTTCAATCAATTGATTGTGCAAAAAACAATTATTCTGTTATCTTCTCATTCCTTTATCTTGCCGATTCCACCATACTCCAATTTCATATTTTATACAATTAATAATGATAATGATAATGTGTGTTAACAGATATAAACTCAAACTAAATAATTATTTTATATGACTTCCTTTTTGTTTTTATTGGACAAAAATTATGTTGATACTTTTCCCGATATCTCCTGATATAAAATTCTATGTACTTTTTGTTGTGTCCATCAATTCCATGTGCATGCTCTCGCAATACGAGTAGTAACTGAATTTATTTAAAAAATCAATCAAATATTAATATTACATACAATACAATTTAGTAAATTTAAATCCGTCACATTTAGTCAGACATGTTTGTTGATCTTGCTTGAGGTTCTTCATATATATATATATATATATACCTTATTATAAAAAATACAACCTCTAAAGTTCAATATAAAAAAAAACTTTTTTTAATAAGATTAATTACTATCATCAAGCAAGGTACAATGTTGATTCAGTTACTACAATCTAAAAGTTTCACCGCATATACACTCCCTGGACAAAAGTTTCGGTCACTACAAAACAAATGATTACGCAAAAACGTACATAATAAAACACAAATAAATTTCATCGAATTGTGACCAAAGTTCTCAAGAATATGTGTGTAAAATTTCAAATTTTTGTAATGTTTGGGAGAATAACAGTTAAAAAAATAAAAAGTTTGACCAAAAATAATTTTTGGAAATGATCTCTAAAATTTTGATTTTATTTGCAAATATTTATACCACTTCTCAAAAAAAAAAAAATGCACATAATAACCACACCCGAAATTTTACTTATTTGTATGCAAGTCAACACTTTGTTGGCCGCCATTATTGGATATAACAGCTTCTATTCTTCTTGGCATACTTTCTATCAAATTCATATAAATATTTCTAGGAATTTGATTCCATTCTTCATGTAAAGCGGTCTCAAGTTCAACATTATTTTTAAATTTATTTGGACGTTTCCGAATACGAATTTCTAATTGATTCCACAGATGCTCTATTGGATTCAAATCAGGAGATTGACTTGGCCAATTTTTCAAAATTTTTTTACTTTTTTGTTTCAATCCAATTTTTGATGATTTTTGTATAAAAAACAAATGACGTAATTTTTCAGAATCTAATCTTTCATGTGTCACGATTTCAGGTGTGGTTATTATGTAAGTTTCTGAGACACTGTTTTTTTTTTTTGGCAAACTACAGTTTTTCAGAAGATTTTTGGTCGAACTTTTTATTTTTTTAACTGTTATTCTCCCAAACATTACAAAAATTTGAAATTTTACACACATATTCTTGAGAACTTTAGTCACAATTCGATGAAATTTATTTGTGTTTTATTATGTATGTTTTTGCGTAATTATTTGTTTTGTAGTGACCGAAACTTTTGTCCAGGGAGTGTAAGATAAAAATCTTTACCTCGAAAATTGCCCACAATAGCAGGTTAGAACCTGCTATTGTGGTATAGTAAAAATGCGTCTCATGTTTAAATCTATTCTAAAATTTTAGAGAATTTGATAAATTAATTAACGAGGAAAATAAAATGTAGAAAAGTTTATGAAACAATTCAACCTCAAACTGCTCACTAATTGAAACATAAAAGACATCAAAAAATATATAAACTATTTTAAATTAATTGTATTTTATTAAAAAATCAATATCTTGTCAGGTTTCCTCTACTTTTTAAAACAACATCAACCCTTCATGGCATTAATATCTATTAATTTTTAAATCTAAATCTTCTTTTTAAATCCTGCAAAAATTTTCAATAGGATTGAGATCTGGGCTTTGGGCAGAGAGAACGTTATTATCTTCTTTCCATACGCCTTGCTACAGTTGCTTTATGACATGATTATCTTCTTAATGCATCATCACCATTTTCACTTAATTCATTAATAAAAGGCAGCTTCGCGATTGCAATTTAAAATTTTCCAATTTTTTTTTAATGATTTTCAAATAGTATTTTTGTCAATAAATTGAGAAATAATATTGTAAATTCCGCAATAGCTAGATTCAAACACGAGATACCTTTTTTACTTATACCACAAAGTCGTTAGAACTTACTATTGTGGTCAATTTTCGAATCAAATATTTTCCAGAGAATTCTTTTTAAAGTTTGTAAAACAACAATGTTGCGGCGAAACTTCAATAAATTATACTATTTGATATTTTTACTTAATAAGCAAATGTGATTGGGATAATAGAATTTTTAGTTTTTGTCATGACAGTTCTATTAATCAAATTAAAGTTATATATAAATTCATAAAAACTTCTAATTCTTTTTTTTTTTAAGATTAAAACTATTGGATGCCAGATTCCAAAAATCTAGTGGCGGTGGTGATTAAATAATCTATTAACAATTTGACCACTTTATGGGCACAATACTACTGAAAAAGATCATCAAAGCAAGCAATCTAGAAAGGATAAAAAAGAATATGCACCTCAAGAGATGTTTGTTTCTGGCCAAATTTGTGATTTTATCTAGTGCAAATCATGCAAAAAGCCATGTTGTGTTTCTAGCAAAAATGCTCTGATTTATAGACTTTTTGACTATGGTAGTTGCTTAGTACATAATTTCAAAAATTTTTTATTAATCAAAAAACATTTTATTTTAACAGATTTACTTCTTTTCTTTTTCTCTTATCTATATAAATTTTGATTCTTCTTTTACTTTACACAATAATGCCTCAATTAAATTCACCTGAACCCTATCATCATCCTGTTCAAAAAGTAGTAATAATAACATGGATAATAATTATTATTCTGATTTTGGTACTAGCCCTGATAATAATAATAATACTAGTGAAAAAATCAACAATAACACAGCAATAATAACAATAATAATAATGTCAAGGCTAAAGAGATAATCACAGCAACATAAAAAAAGTCTATTTTATTTGGTGCTACATGTAAAACAAATAATAGGCATTTGAATTTATATCAGTTAAATTAAATAATGTCTCTATTAATAATATTTTGCAAGTAAGAATTAATTAATTAATGATATCTTTATTATTGTCATTGTTGTTGTTATTTTTTTCTAAAGAAAGAGATTGATCATGACCCCATACTTTAACAGTTTTATCAAATCCACAAGTTATCAATAATTGTCTTTCATCATCATACCATAATCCTCTAACCAAATTCTTATGACCATGTAATTTCACCACAACTTTATTTGTCACTACATCAAAAATTCTGATAATAGAATCAACACCATAAGCGAAAAAATATTTACCACTTGGATGCCAACAATGATTGGGGTTTGTGAATTTTCTGTTGTCAGATATGTCATCATAATAGTTATAAATTTGTTGTGCAGAATGTGTACGAAACAACATGATTTTTCCATTCTCATCATCTGTTGATACCAAAAGATATTTTCCATCATTATTAGGACTTGGAGAAATGTCCATCGGAGTAAAGGAAACCCAATCATCACCATTAGCATTCATGTTATATTTTTTATCTTCAAAATTATTCAACAAGTTAATGTAGTGAAGGTAATTATCATTGCGTACACCAACTATAATGTATTGATTATCTGGTAGAAAACAAAATGATTCTACATTACCACCGAATAATATTGAATGAACTTTAATATATTGTGGTGGAAAATCTGTTGTTGTGCTATTATTGTTATTATTATTATTGTTGCTGTTATTATCGATGGTTTTGGTTTTATAAATGTTTATTGTATGATCATATGATGCCGTTACAATGAAATTTCCATCTGGTGAGAATTTTGCTTTAATAACATACTTCTTGTGATCTTTAAATGGTTGTATAATCTCCATATTTGTAACATCAATCAAAGCACATGTTGAATCAATTGATGAAGTTAACATTAAATTTTTATAAATTGGATGAAAGTCAATAGATAACACACCAGCTTTATGAAACTCAAAAATGTTAAAAGTTTCCCCAGTTAATAGTGAGGTAAATTTGACAGATTTATCTGCTGAACCTGTTACAATCGTTGGTATTTGAGTGATTTGATATTCTCCATCATCAACCAATAACCTTTTTACATCAATGTTTTGTGTTTTAACATTAAGTAAATTTGAATTGTGAATTTCAGAAAATGTTTTATATAAATAACAAGGCAGTAACTCTTCTTGATTTCCTGGAGTAATTAAATCATCATCGATTTTCCTAATTGTGTGTAAAAATAAAGATATACAATGTGTTTATTTTCTTGAAAAAAATTTACCATTTTTCTGTTTTTTATATATAAATGTATATAATATACCTTTCAAAGTACAAATTATTAAAATCCTTTTGTAATTCAGTCACTAGATAATCTTGAATTATTGAAGTTAAAGGTTTAAAAATTAATGATTGTGAAGAGGAGAGAGTTGATTGATTATTGTTGTTGTTGTAGTTGTTATTAAATAATTCAATTGTTTCTTTTGCTTCTTTGTGAAAAGCTTCTAAAGTTTCGTTATAGTTATTTGCTTCCAAAAACTGTAGAACCAAAGCATGTGTAAAAGAAATATTATTATATGGAGTCATGAAGATTATAGGGTAAGTATATATATATATAAACAAAATATTCCAAATCGAAATGAATCAAATGAGGTGACCAAGGAATGGGGAGCCCCTGGTTAATAAAAATTTTCAATTTTATATGACCGCCTTGTGACTTCGTTCGCAAGCAGCAGATTCAAATTCTTTGTAATAAACATTACAATCTGCTGGTTTTTAAGCATATTTATTATACATGTGGGATATTTGCAATTGTCACGAGACAGTCCACTAATCATACTATTCTGGGCCCAAGGTAAACTCAATAACCAGTCATTTATAACCGTTACTGTTTAAAGATACCAGCTGCAACTTTTGATGGTGGTTGCAACTAGAGGCATGCATGGACCAATTTGCACACAAAAAAATTTCAATCCAAACCCGTAAAATTTTTTTGGAATTACAAGAAAAAAAAATTTACAAGAATACTATCTAACCACAAAACTTATAATCTCTATAAAAACTTTAGCATATATTAACCGAACATCACTTTTTCCACCAATTTTATCTTTACATAATAATTCTCCAGCCAGTAGTTTTGATAATATTTATATATAATATATATATACAAGTCACTCCCATTATAATGACACCCACCATAATGACATGTCAATATATGGGAGATATTATTGGTAAAATTGGTATGAGATATTTTCACATGACTGGTGATAAATTCTATTGTCTCCAACTGTCAACTTGGATAAATTATGGACTTGGTGTCAGAACAAATCAAGGAAAAATTATAATAAACTTTTACCAGTGATTGCAACTTGTCTCAAGCACAGGAGGTCACAATTCAGAGCAGGGTTTGTGGCCCTGAAATTGCATTTGGGCTCTGATGTTAAGAGGAAAGTCGTAAAATAGTGTTTGTTTTGTATAATCATTTTTCATAAATGCTCTGTTTTTTTGATATTAACCAATTTATGATTTTGGGTAGGGGATACCCTCTAAAACCAAATAAGTTTGTTTGTGTATTTATTATATTTATATTGATTAATATGGTAAAGTTTTGGGTAAAGGTTATTTACCAATCAACCAGTTATTATTAAAACATGTTATGTTTCAGAAGAAAAAAATAAAAAAGCGGCAGCGTAATAACATTTTTATTACTCATACAAAAATATTATGATGATGCCGTTTTTATTCTTATTCGCTTTTTGAATTACTGTTCTATATTTTAATTTCACTACATCCCTCCTATTTGCTGTTGTTTATCGATGTGTTATATAATCTATTTGATATAATTGGTTCATTAATGAACTTTTATGTGGGCCAAGATAATAAAATTTACTTACTCGTTGATCAGAATTGGTAAATGAACATTTTGGGCTCAATCATAACTATAATGAACAGTAGCATCAATACCGCAATATTGTGTTTTACCTTGGGGATAAATTTGGACAACTAGTTTTCTTTAAATTTTTTGAGTAATTCTTTGGCTTCTTCCTCTTGATGAGCATTGTAATGTAAACCATTTCGAAAATGTTGACAAGTATCACACAGGTCAGTCCTTCTGGACTCATAATTTGAATATGAGAAGTTAATTGGTAAGATTAATCCGATTTCCGAGGTAATTATCCAATTAATTAATTACAATAATTCTAAATTAATAAATTGTTGATTACATTTAAAGGACTCATCTCTTTATATTGTTGTCTGTAACAACAAAAGGCAAGCAAGTTTTTATAAAATTAATAACATCTAAATTCATATTTTATTATTGTTATCTTCCGATGGATTCGTAAATATCTGTTTACTAACAAAAACTCATTAATTAAACTGCATCAAAGATAGGTTCTTCAAAAAAATTTATCATATGTATCAAAGTCTAAAAACGAATCAACTAAAAAAAGAAAAGAATTCAAGGAAAAATTCAGTTGAAATAATTTATTTAAACGTCGTGTAAAAGAGGAGGCTTTAAAAAGCAGGATCCTCAAAAACTGCTAGGTTCTTTATTATTATCCGTTTTATTTATTAATTTTTAATTTAATGATAATCAATCAACTAAAAAAAGCCCATCAAATAAAGGCAAGAAGAAGGTTTGCGATCAATCAACAACACTTTTCTATGTCTTTCATGCCAGTGGTATTGAATTGACTCAAGAAGTTGTGGTTACTTTAGTAATTGTTTAATGCTTCACCTACAAAGTTTTCATTATTATTTTGAATAAAAAAAAATAAATGGTTTTTATAAAACAAAAATTTTTTTTTTCTAGCAAAGAAACAAACAAATAACCATTGCTGTTCATAGAAATTATAAAAACTCCGATAGAATTTTTTGAGTTTAAAATTGACGGAACTCCAAAATATTTGTTCATCCAAAAAGATTATTTTGCCACCACCACCACCACCATTGTATTCAGCAGAATTTATATCTCCTGGTGTAAATTCTTATTCGTTTATTCCATTCACTGCAGATAATGATATACAGTAATTGCAGAAAACAATCTTGTAAATATTGGACTGGATAGCAAAATGATGAGGTTTGAAGAAAATAAATCAATTAATTTAAGAGATTCTGTAGAAAATTTTAATGAAATTGTGGAATAGATTTGTGGACCAAGAAAGATCCAAATGTTGCATATTAATATATGTCAGCCAGTATCTTACCTTATTAAAAAAAAAAAAAATCAAAATTTTCAATTTCAATTGAACAAGCAGCAAGTATTTATTTCAATTTTCTATTAGAATTCTGTTAAAAATACAAGAGTTTAGAAGAGCACCTTGTTTAAATAAATAAAGAAGAATATGTCAGTTATTTTAATTTGTACATATCTAATTATAAACATTTCAAAAGACTTTGATGTTTATATTTTAAAATAATAATTTGGGAATTTCGGGATTTGGGATTTGGGATTGGGATGCGTTGTTATATAAAAAATGACCACAGAAAATATGGCAGAAAATCTTATAACCAAAATGTAAAATAATGGTTTTTATTTATTTCGTAAGAAAGATTTATCCTTTTTATGCTTCTGTTAATATCATCTATCCTATTGAACAAACCATACGTATGCTGGAAATGAAAAAGATAATACTTTGTTTACTCGAGATGATTTTATTAAAAAGATAATGTAATTAATTATAGGCAGATCCCTCGCAAAAATTAAATTTTTTATTTTTGAATGTTAGTCATATAACTAATAAAGTAAATCTGAAAGTTATATTTTATTAATAACTTTCCTAGTTCCAAACCAAATTATACAACCTACAAATAAGTATTTAATGTCATATCAAGATTGTAAATTTTATTGAGCAACTTATAGAGCCAGTCAAATATTAATCCAGAAGAAAGACTAGAAGAATTTTCTGAAGTTTTTGAAGGAATTAACAAGCTGATTGAAGAAAATCAATGCTTTGGAAAATTTATCAACCAACTTCAAAAGCAAGATCTGTATTAATCTAGGAGAAGGTCCAGAAATTTTTTTTGAAGAAATTGACAAGTTGATTAAAGAAAATGAATGCTTTAGAAATTTTATTAATAAACTCCAAAAGCGGTCTGGTATTAATCCAGGAGAAAAAATAATCAAGTTTTTAATGAGTCAATGAATATATATGAAACAATAAATAAAATGAATTAGCCAGATATCAAAATGAAATAGAGCCACAATCAAAACAAGTAATCAAGTCACAATACAATGATTCAGTCAAATACAGTGAATTAGTGCCAAAATACAATAAACTGAATACAGAAAATGAAAAGGCTTACAAATGATTTAAACAGATACAAACAAGTAATTAGCCACAATAAATTGCATACAGAAAACGAAAAACTTGCAAATGATTTAAACAGAAACAAACAAGTAATTGAGCCACAATACTATAAATTGAAAATTTTGCAAATGATTTAGCCAGATATCAATATGAGGTTAGCCAAAATACAAATTAAAATATGGAATACAATATAACGTTAATATAGATAAATGCAAACAGATGAGGAATTTTGCAGTAAAAAGATCACAGATCTTGAAGCCGAAAGGGAAAAAGATAATAATAAAATAAAAAAATTAGAAAAAAATTATTATTTTGAAAAAATAGATATTATTCAAGATTTAACTAAAATAAATAGAATAAATATCAGCAAGAAATTGAGCCCAAATACACAGAAAAAATCAACAACTTAAATAATAATTTAGACAGACATCAACATGAAATCAATACCTTAAATAACAATATATCCTGTTCAAAAGCAAATTATGGTAATTTAAATAATGACTATACTAAATTAAATCATGATAAAATTTATCAAGATAATAAAATTATTGAACTTATGACAGAAAATCAAAACGAGGATTAGAGGCTATAAATGATAAATTAAGAAAAGAAGCCTCATCATATCAATTAGCTTTAGAAGATACATTATATTTCCATTTAAGTGATGAGAATAATTCAGCTCGACTTTCAACTGATATAAATTCTTCAGGATAAACTTGAGAAATATGTTATTACATTAAAAGGTTCTTTTATAAATATTGATAATGATAAAATTCAAGGGTTATATGGGAAACATAATCCAAATAGCCAAAATATAAACGATAAAATTTCGATGAAAACAGTTTTACAACATTATGTTCTAGAGAAATTCTTGAATATATTGATAATTGTCTTGAAATTAAGGAAGATGATGATCTAAACAATCCTAATAATCAGGAAAAATGTATAATGTAATCATACAAATAAATTAATATTTCTTCTTGACAAGTTTTTATAATAATCATTTTGAAGAAGATAATAATGTGATTAAAGCTATTCCAACAAAAATACGTCAACAAGTTTATAGTATATTATGTGAATTTGGATTCTCTGAGAATAAAAAAAAAGCAACATATGCATCCATTTATATCATTTGCAGCACAAAACCTTAACCAATTAATGACAGGATATTGTTATATCAAGGACAATATTAAAAGAAAGAATATAGAAGATATGGCAGAAAATCTTATCAAAGATATAACTAGAATATTTAAATTTCGTTTATTAGTTCAGGGACCAAAATATGAAACACACTGATTTAAAAATGATGTGAAAATAAATCCTTAATTTATGAAAGGACAATGGGATGATGAATGTTTGGATGATTATGTTGTGGATATGTGTTATTTTCCTTTGAGTGGAATGGAATTGATGATTTGAGTAAAAGTAAAGTCATGCAAAAGTTTTCCCTCGATCTATTGTAGTACCACCACCACCACCAAAAAAAATTAATGATTTGAATGATTATTTTGAAAACGTAAAACTTGACACAACTATTCTATATGATAATCTGCAAGACGCAGATTCTGATCCAGAAAATAATGATATCAAAGAAAATACGGGTAAAAGTAAAAAAAAAAAAAAAAAAGAAAAAGAAGATATTATACAAAAGGAAATTTAAAAAATAAAATTTAACATCAACAAAATAATAAAATAATTTCTATTAAAAATTGACAATATAAAATATATCTGTTCAATTTGTTTATTAATAATATTGTTTAATGTGCATCATCTCTTTTAGAAATATAATCAACAGCATCTTTAACTGATCTAATTTCATCAGCTTCTTTATCAGGAATTTCAATTGAAAAATCTTCTTCAATATTCATCACCACTTCAACAGTATCCAAACTATCAAGTCCAAGGTCATCAGCAAAACGTGCTTGTGTGGTTACCTTATTTAATATAATATAATGATTGAAATGATCGAATGATCATTATTAAATCAATTTTTTCTCATGGAATAAGAATTCCTCCGAAAAATAAAAATTTCCCATTTATCTTTTTCACATAATTCTTTCTATTATTGTCACATACCTTTGAAGGATCAACTTTATCAAATGCTTTCAAAATATCGAGAATCCTAGCCTCAATATTTTCTCGGGTCAATGTTGACACATCGGAATAAAACCTCAAAGAAGATGAATAAAATCCAAATGGATTAGTTTTTGTTTTTGTTATTTTTGTCATTGATGATGTGTCAAATTTTTTTGCATTTTGTTTAATGATGATATCTCTTGAATTTGTTGATGTTGGTATTATCAGCTGACGCTTTAATGGTTGATGAGTAAGATTTTTATTTTTTTTATTTTTTAAAAGATTAATTGTGGGAAGTAACCGATAACTTTTAAACCTATTCATAATTAATTTATAATTTTATTTTTTGATGATAAAAAATTTTTGATAAAATTTTTTGATCTTCAAAAATTTGTATAAAATAAAACAAGTCACCCAAATGATTTATAATTACAAAATAAAAATCCTTTTTTGTTTGTTTGTTTTAAAATCTAACGATTACTGCAAGGACATTGATATTAACAATGTTTGCGAGATAGTCACGCACGGGGTCGATCTAGGAAAATTATCGTACAACACGGAATTGGTCTATTTCTTAAATTAGTATGATTCGAAGTTATTAAGATCCATAATTATCAGTCATTATCTTTAAATTTAGAGAAGTATTTAAACATCTAAAGTATAACATAAGGACCGGGAAAACTCTATTGAATGTGGCCGCCAACACTATACTTTTTAAAAAAATGTGACCTTCTCACCGTAGATTCGCATTAATAGAAAATGGAAAAGGTCACATCTATATAACAATCTATTAAATAATAATAAAACAAAGTGAGCATATGGAATAAACAGCCAGAAAACTAAAAAAAAAAAATCCAAACCTCACCATATTCCATTCATCACAAATGAAGTCATGAGGAGCCAGTTCTGGTGTCATGACTGAAAGGAGTTCATTTGCAAGGTTGTACCTTGTGTGATTAGCATTGCGGCAAAAAGGAGGAAGGAGTTGAAGCAATGTTTGCAGCTGCATTGGTATCCCTTCCTTGTGTTGTATACTTTATCCTTCTTGCTGGGCATCGGGCGGGGATGAACACATTCTACTGCGCCATTGAGGCGAATGACACAATAAGGGTAATCTTTATCACTAGGTGATCTGATATTTCTAGAATAGAAAACATAATCTATAGTTCGACAAAGGACATCTTGTGCCCACATAACTTCTTTTTTGAAAGACTTCTTCAAGGTAACTTTCTTTCTTTCATCTTGCACGGCAATATACAGTGTTCAAATGAAAAAAAACTAATGAGGAAGTTGCATGGCTCTGTTGTTGCATAAGGAACAGCTTTAAATCATCATCGACCTTTCTTTTTAGCATATAAAAGTCTAACGAAATTGGAAAATGATGGTTAGTGCATGCACATCTGATTTGACAGAAAAATTCAGCCATTAATTTTTGGCACCATAAGGGTACAAGCAATTACTATACAAACATTAGTACAATATTCAGCATGTTAAATGTTGTATGAAATGTTTATTCGGTTGACTTTTGCTAAATAAATTCTCATATAATATTCAATGAGCATATATATTTCTTATTGAGTAGCTCCCTTACGGTGCCAAACTTTGATAGCTGGCTGAACCTTGGCTGGATTTTTTTTTTCGGTGTGATCAATTGTATTGTTTATATATGATTGGATTCTGCTTCAATGTAGTTAATATAGTTGAAAATTTGATATAACGAGAAAATCACAATTTCCTACACCAATATCCTTTGGTTGTTCTCCATCTTCTCATAAGAAAAACTTAAATCATTCGTTTGATGATACTTTATGTTCTAATTAAACCAAAGTTATTGAATAGTTGAAATTTATCAATTCCAAATTTTGCTTGTAATCTTTATTAAAAAAGAAATATTGTTCTTGAACTTGTGGTGTGATATCACGATAATCTATTACAATGTATAGTAGTAATAGTAAGTGAAGCCTTTGAACCAGAAAAAAAATTTTTTTTTCGCTTTTTTAATTCTAGATTTAATCGGATTATAGGGTTTGTAAAGCTACTTTCTGCTTGATTTTGTGTTTTTCCATCTTTTTATCTAAGAAATTCGTACGATGATCTGATCGAAAAAATTTTAAAAATTAAAAAAATTTTTTTTTGTTAATTATGTTTCGCGCTTGTTGTAAATTACCATCAAACAATAAAATATTGTCTTCTCCTATTACCAGCTTGTTGATAAATCGTAAATATGCTGCCAGTCCTGCAATTTCTCCAATTACAGTCACAAAGTCAAAAACTGGAATAACAACTGTTTCAATTAAAGGTGAGGAGAAGGTTTATCTATATATGCTTTATTGATACACATATATTTTCATATATATATACTTGATAATTTTTTGTTTGGTATGTGATATTTTTTAATTTGATACAATTATTGAGTACTTCATTAATTCCTGGTCTAATTCATCTTTATATAATATAGTACATATTACAATCCTAAGCTATATGATTTTAATTTTATACGTATTGCACATGTATTTCCAATAAAGATAGCACACCAGCTTCTTCTGTTTCCTTAGTTGTAAAGGCTGGTCCTCGTTATGAGACCATTAATAAAATTGGTGCAGCGCATTATTTAAAAAATTTTGCTTTTAAGGTTAGGATTTTAATTAATAAATAGACAACGTGAATATAAATTTATATGATTTTAATTTCTTTAAATGATAGAACACCACAAACAAAACCGCTTTTCGTACAACACGTGAAACAGAATTGCTTGGTGGTGTATTAACAGCCAATTTAACAAGAGAAAATTTAATTCTTACTGCAGAATTTTTGCCAGATAATCTGTATGTAAATCTTTTTTCATATAAAATTGTAAGATTTTTATTTATTTTATTTATTAATTGTTTGGAAAAAGATTTATCAATGATAACAATCAATTAGTAATAATAATGATTAATTTTTTTCACTATCTCCTTTTGATAATTATAGTGAATATTTTTTGGGTGTATTATCTGATGTAATTTTCAACACAAAGTATGAACCACATGAATTTAAAGAAGTGAAACAAAGCGTTGCATTTGAGAGAAGTGTTGCAGAAGCAACTCCAGAAGTTTTGGCATTAGAAGCAGCACACGAAGCTGCATTTCGTGATGGACTTGGAAATCTACTTTTTGCAAATTCCACCACAAAAATCAAGAGTAATGAAGATGTTATAGCATATGCTAATAAAGTCTACACAGCTCCAAATATCACTATTATTGGTACCGGTGTTGATCATGATGAGTTGACAACTTTAACAGAAAATCTATTTAAAGATATAAGTCATGCAGTACCAGCTACACCAATCGCTTCCAAATATTTTGGTGGTGAGGTTAGATTGGCTAATGGAAATGATCTAAATCATTATATACTTGCATTTGAGGGCGCACCAGCAGGAACACCTGATTTTTATACTCTTCAGATTCTTAGATCATTATTAGATGGAGATAAACACACAAAGTGGGGTGATGGTGTTACTAAACTTTCTCAAACAGCAAGTAAACTTGATACTAAAACCAGCATTTTCAACACAGGGTATTCAGATGCAGGTATTTTTGGTGTATACTACTTGGCAGCTAAACCAACATCAATATATTCAGCTGCTCGTGCTACTGTTGAACAGTTACAACATGTTGCAAAAGGTGTCGATAAAGATGAATTCCAAAGAGCTTTTGCAAAAGCAAAATATAGCACTGCAATTTCTTATGATACACGTTATTCTAAAACTGTGATCTTGGGCAGTCAGGTATTATAACTATTTACTTGTAATTAATTAATTATTCAATTAATTGATTATATTTAATTATTATTTCTTTAGGTATTATCCTCTGCAAAAATTGTTTCTGCTTCCGAAGCAGTATCGGAATATGATCATATCAAAGAAGCAGATGTTACAGAAGTAATTATTAAAAATATATCATATTTTGATAATTAAATAATAATGATGATGATAATAATTTTTTTCCTATTGAAATGTGTATATAATTAATTATAGATTGCCAATAGAATTTTGTCAAGTAAACCTACTGCAGTGGCACTTGGAGACATAGCTACCTTACCATATGCTGATGCTCTATCTCTTTGATTAAAATTCTATTATTAAGATGTGAATTCAAATTCATATTTAAATTAAATAAATAAATTATTACTTAATATTCCTCGGGTATATGAGATCATTGCATTAATAAACCAATATCAGCTCCATCCCACACTTTTAAAGATGATGATTAACATTATTTATTTTTTTGTTTTGTATAATGAATTCCAACTAATTTCATCTGCATTATAGGAGGGATTATCTTTGTAGAGGACAAATAGGAGATTATCATGTTTGCAATTAAATTGAATTTAAAGATTACAATTTTCCGTGTTGCCTATCTTTTAATTAAAAAAAAAACACAAGTCAAATAAAAGCATTAGAAAATTCACACAATGTACGCAAATTGTGCATATTATGATGGTCTAAACCAAGCATACAACTTATATAGCATTTATTCTAACTGATTTTACCCCATGTCCTATACATTCCGTAATCGAATTTACATAGTAAAATTTTATAATAGATTATCTTCTTACCCTCGTTTG